ATTATTGTCTTCTTGAGAGAGGGTCTCCATGTAGCCCCAGCTAGCAGTCCCGGAACTCACTATGTAGACCAGGCTGGCCTTGAACTCACAGAGATCACCTGCCTCTGCGTCCCAAGTGCTGGGATCAAAGGCGTTCACCACCTCACCCAGCTTCAGCTTCTTTTAAATAAAATAGACTACAGTAGAAAATCTCAACACATCACGAATGGTAAGGTATTTACTGTGAAATTTTGGTTTTAGTTACATGGTCACATCTATATTTCTTTTTTTTTACAAGAATATTATTTTTATTTTTTATTTTATGTGTATGTGTGTACTGCCATCATGTGTGGAGGAAGTGCACCCGTGTCATGTAATGCCTGTGGAAGTCAGAAGAGGGCGTTGGATTCCCTGGAACTGGAGTTACAGAGGGCTGTCAGCTGCCATGTAGGTGCTGGGAACAGAACCCAGGTCCTCTGCAACAGCAGCCAATGCTCTTAACCACTGAGCCATCTCTCCAGCCCCACAATCTATATTTCTTATAGTGGGGTTATAGTAGAAACATTTCAAAGGACACAAGTCTAAACAGCATAAAATACTAAGCACAAGAAAACCTGGAAAGGAACACGCAGAAATAAGGAACTGGTAAGGCTGGCAGAACACAGGATGCCTCTTCTCATTTAAAAGATTTCTGTGATATTTATAGGCTGTTCTTGTCTTACAAGAAAACAAGAAAAATGCCCAAGAATTCAAGACCAAAAGAAAGGCTAAGAATCATATCTCAAAAGGCAGGAAGACTCCCGTGAGGGCTTAAATCTGGAAGCGGAGTTACAGGTTGGGTCTTACAGGAAGGACAGAATCTGAATGGGAAGGTTGGTTAAAAATGGGCAGGAATGTCCCTGAAGAATGAAAGGTAGAAGGAAGATGTTTTAAAAGGGGTGGGGTACTGGAGAGGTGGCTCAGGAGTTAAGAGCGTTGGCTGCTCATGCAGAGGACCTGGGCTGGGTTCCCAGCATCTACATGGCGGCTAACCGTCTGTAACTCCAGTTCCAGGGGATCCAGCGCCCTCTTCTGACCTCCAAGGCACTGCACGGACACAGGTGCATTTACATACATGCAGGCAATACACTCATACACATACAATTTTTTAAAAAAATTTTGGTTTTTTGAGGCAAGGTCTCCCTGTAGCCCCAGCTGGCCTGGAACTCACTATGTAGACCAGGCTGGCCTCGAACTCACACACATCCGCCTGCCTCTGCCTCCTGAGTGCTGGGACTACAGGCATGCGCCACCACGCCAGACTTAAAATTTAAAAATTTTAACGGTCTCAGTGATGTAAAGCGACCAGTCATTGCTTCTCTCTAGGTCTCATCTTCTACGACCCTTTAGGAACCCAGCCCTCAAACTAGAAGCTGCCCCTCACAAACATGGTTGCTCCAAGATGGCGGCGCCCCTCAAAAAGATGGCGACGGCAGCTGCCCCGCCTCCTTCTGCCTCCCCGACCAATGAAAGAGCAGCACGATGATTTGCGCATGCGTAATGCAACTCACTGGGCGTGTCCGGCGCGGGGGACACAGCAAGCAATATGACTAAAAAGAAGCGGGAGAATCTGGGCGTCGCTCTGGAGGTGAGGGAGAAGTCGGGCTCGGGTCGCGTCGTCTTTCGACGCCAGGGCGTGGGCTGAGAGGCTGAGGAAGGGCCAGAAGGAGGTCACGAGGGCGCCACGGCTGTGGCAGGGCCCGGAGAGCCGGCGGAGGTGAGGGCATGACCCATGAGGGCTAGCGAACTCAGGGGCCTCGGGTAACAGACGCGGAGGCAGAGGTCAAGGGATGCCAGAGGAAGATCATGGAAGGACAGCCCCAGAGACGACAGGACGTGGAGTGACCGGACTCAAAGGGGAGGGTCCCGGAAGTAAGGAGGATCCGAGAGCAGTCTTGGAATTGTAGCGTAACCAAAAGGGACGTGTCAAGGCCAGAGGGTGGAGACCTGTGGATGAGGGGAACCTCCAAAGATCTAATGGCTTCAGTGTCCCCAGAGATGGGAAACTTTTCCTGCGGGGTAGCAAAGCTTGTAGCTTGGAAATGACTTTGAGGGTCTCTGGGGATCTGGGAAGAGACTTCTAGACTTGGTGTTGTTAGGGAAGGGCTTTAAAGTAGTTTATTGCATATAGAAAGCCACCTGATGCATGTCGGGTAACTACTAAATGCTCCTTTGTGCTTGAATTCTCAATCCTCACATGCCTGTGGAGTTTGTGTACATGAGGAAACCCAGATTGTAAGTAGGACCCAGGAGTTGGGCAGGGTTGGTGTATACCGGTAGTCTCAGCACTCAGGAAGCTCACGCAGAAAGATTGAGAATTCAGAGCCAACCTGCCCTGGGCCCTGGGGTGCATACCTTTAATCTCAGCACTCTGGAGGCAGAGGAAGGCAGATCTCTGTGAGTTCAAGGTCAGCCTAGTCTACATAGTGAGTTCCAGAGCAGCCAGGGCTACATAATGAGACCCTGTCACCAAAAACAAAAAAGCTAGCCTGGGCTACACAGCAAGACCATGACCCCAAAAGTGGAGGAACCCAGGTTGAAGGGCTAAAGGGCTAGAGGTGATAAAGAAAATTGTGCCCAGATGGCCTTCCTGGAAGTGTGACGTTTCCTTCCCCTTTGAGCATCCTTGCAGGTTTTGAGAGAGGTCCAGAACTAAGGTCTTTGGCTTACTACCTGCTCAGTGATTCTTAAACTTAAGAGTCCATGGCCATATCACCCTGGTAGCCTGATCTTGTCTCAAACAAGAAGCAAAGACTCACTATACAGCTGGTAAAAATGAACGCTGCTTCTTCCATCTCAAGTAACTCAGTGGGGTCCATACCTGTCCGTGTTGGTGTGATGATTGTAGACACACACACCCCTCTTGAGAAATAATTGCCTACTTGGTAGGAAAAAAGTTGTTGGAAATGTGATCTCCATCTGAAAGCCTGTGTTGAATACTGGAAGGGAACAGAGTTGATAGCTTGTATTAGGGCACATTGAGCTGCTGTTAACACCAACCCCCAAACTCAGCAGCTTCACAGATGAGAAAGTTTGTCATTTTAAAGCAGAGGTCAGCCATCCTTGTCTGGAAAGAGTCAGACAGTAAGTATTTTAGGTTTTGTGGGTAGGATGGTCTCTGTTGCAACTATAGTTCATCCTTACTATTCACAGATTACAAATTTACCAAACTCCCTACAATGTATCTGTTGCCCCCTAATCAATAGTCACATATTTGCAAGTAAAAAGCAGCTGGGGGGGGCGGGAATTGGAGTCACCTCCGCTCCACATTTCCAGCTCACACTCTGCCATTATTTGAGCTGTCATACCACAAACAAATGTCCTTTGTGTGGTCTGCCTAGTGCCATGACTTTTGCATTTTTGTGCTTTTTATTGGGGTTCTGTGCTCTTAAGTAGCCCCTAAGTGTTGTGCTAAAGTGCTGGCTAGTGTTCTGAAGCTGCCACGTGGTTTCTAGGGAAAAATAGGTTTGTTTGATAAACTTTTTTTTTCCAGAATGACAGTACTCGGCACTACACAGTGTTCCGCGCTGTGAGTTCAATGTTAATGAATCATCAATATATTAAGTAAGTTCCCTTCAAACAGAAACACACATCAAAGAATGTTTTGCATGGATTAGGTGATGAAAATGCTTACCAGAGCCTCATGGTAATTCAACCATTTCAGTTTCTGCTAATTCAATGCTGGGTTAATTTTAAGGCATGTAACTACCATGACAGGCATGGTGGCACATGCCTAAGCATTTGGGAGGTAGAAGTGGAAGGATCAAGCATTCAAGGCCATCCTTGATACATAGCCAGTCTGAGGCCAGCCTGGGCTACATGAGACCCTGTCTCAAAGAACATACGTCCATGAATTGACAGTCACCTGTACTCAGGCTCCCCCTCCCTCTATGTCTCTGTCTCTTGGGGGTGAGTGTTGTTCTTTGAGACAGTTCCATTACATAACCCTGGCTGACCTGGAACACCTATGTAGACCAGGCCCACCTCAGACGCACAGAGCTCCACCTGTCTCTGTCTCCCAAGTGTGGGGGTTAAAGGCCTGCTTTTGTACTCAAGTCCCTTAATGTAGCATTTCCAGTAAGACCCTGTTTGCAGCTAGTGGCACATTTGGGAGGCTGAGATGGGAAGTTCAGAAGTTTAAGGTCAGTCTAGACTACATAGAATCTGTCTCAAAACAACAAAATGCCATTTTTTACAAGTACAGGCAGTAGACCATGTTTGGCCCACAGGCTAGCATGCTAGCCTCTGGACTGGTGGTCCTGCCAGGTTCTCCCTATATAGGGGCTCCACTGTCTCATCAACAAAACCAAGACACACCTCACTGACCCATTCACCATCGAGGAAAAAGTAGAGAAGGCAGTGCAGTGTTAAGGATCCTGGTAAGTGGAGGGACTTGACCTTGGAGAGAGCCAAGAGGTGGCTGCCCCTTCCCAAGGCACACTTGTTAGCCTAGGTCTGGACCACTCCCAGTTGCTGCCTCAGGTTAAGTGCCAAAGCATTAACACTCTTGTACCACTGTTTACCTTGCTGTCAAAACCAGCATTTTACTGTGGAAGAGACAGGTCTGGAGTTAGACTTACTATGTCCAAATAACAGATCACATGTGTCTTTTGTTTGACTAACACAGATTTTTATCTTTTAAAATTTTGCAGTGCTGGGGATGAAAACCAGGGCCTCCCACGTTAGGCAAGTGTTCTACCACTGAGCTACATTCTCAGTCCCCAGCACAGTGTCTTGAGTTTGACAGGTCACGTGCTTTATACCGAGCATTTATCCTCCCATTTTGCAGTGCTGGGAATTGAACAAGGAACATGTGCATGTAGGCAAGCCCTCTAGCATTGAGCTGTATCCTTAGACATTTTTTTACCCCCTTGGTAACACTGTATATACTTCTATAAGTGTTTGCATAGACATCTTAAAATATAATTATGTAGGTATAGAACACTAGCTGTATAAAAATGTGGCTATTTGTTATCTTGGTCCCTAAGGCTCCTTTTTTGCTTGGCTCTTGAAGCATTTGGTATCTGTAACTCTCTGCCTTAGGAGAGGCCTGGGCACCTGGCTGCCTCCCTCATCCCCGCTGCCTCCAGCGTGTCTAAGTACTGAATGCACACTGATGCTCAGTAGCTGTAGATGTTGTCCTCTTATTAAAAGTCATGTGCTCGGGGCCAATGAAGTGGTGATTTAATCAAAAATGTTTGTTAATCTGACGAGTGCAATCAAAGCCCCCAAGTGAGTGATCTCAGCACCTGCAAACAGCCTGCACTTGTTATAATGAAGCAGTATACCAAGCAGGCAGCATTCACCTGAGCCCTGGCACGGAGCAGCTGTGTGGGGTGCTCACTAGGACAGCCATGGCACCCTCCAGCCTCCCCAACTTTTCCTTTGGAAGTCTTTTTCTGCAACCCATGTGTCACCTGTGAGAGCTGAATTGGAAACACCTGCTTTGAGTTTCAGGTTCTGAGTCTGTGCGTGGCAAAACTGCCTCTTGGTGAGAAGCCACTGACCCAAATGTACTAGACCATTTTTGGCTGGTACGAAACTTGCTTCCATTTTAAATCTCTGACAGTGACTCCTACACTTCACATTTCTTTTATCAATAGACTGGCCTAGTGTCACTAGGTGCCTCATCAACCATTTGGTCTCAGGTACTAAGTGTGTGGTATCTTAGTTGCCTTTTTGTTTTTTTGGTGGTAGTGGCGCTAGCATTGAACCCAGGGCCTCATGCATGCTAGGAAGGTGCTCTACCACTGAGCCACACCCCCAGCTGACACCTCAAAGGAGATAACTTAGTTAGATGTGCTTCCTAGTACAAAAATCCTACCACCTTGGAAACTCTTGTCTACAAATAGTTACAGAAAACTGATCTCAGTGACTTAAGCAAATGGGAACACTGTACCCTCCCCCATAGGGATTTGTGGGTGAGTAGCTACTGGTATTGGTTCAGAAGCTCAGTTCTGCCCAGCACCTGGTCCTGAATACCATTATCGGTGTCCATAGTCACAAGATAGCTGTCATAATGCCAGTCATCACGTTCCCCTTCAAGTCAAGACTCTTTTATTAGGAAAGTGTCAACTCCAGGAGTCTCCAACTGGCATCCAGAACACATCATTGGTCAGAGCTGGGTTATACATGACTGCACCTAGCTGTCATGAGTCTGGGAAAGCCTCCGTTGTGCTCTTTCAGCTTTTGCAGTGAAGGTGAACCAAGGAGGACTGGGAGTCAGTGCTAGGCTGGCCAACTAACAGCATCTGCGGTAAGGGAGAAAAATACGTGGGAAACGTGCAGTCCCTGGTCCTCACCAGACAAGGAGAAAAGGACAGACAGAAAGACAGAGTTTGGCCAGGATGAACTGTGACTAACTATGGCCACTGTTAGTCGGTGTCAGAGCTCTAAGACAGGCTGTGCACCCGTGTGGAAGCCCCCCATTTGCTGAGATGGGGCTGCAGGCAGTGCTGCTGATCCCAGGTGGTATAAGGTGAAGCCGCCTTGCTAGGAGCTTCTGGCAGACAAGGGCTTTGCAGGTCCCACTGACCATTAAATGAGCCTCACCTGCACAGGTGGAAGCGACAGGTCGCCGTTGGGCAG